CTGTTTTCATCACAATTAAAACTTGTTCGGTTTTTCAATCCTTCAGCCTATATGTACTCCTTGAAATTCCTGCACATACTTTTCTGCTGCTTTTTGGTCTGAACTGGCACACAGCCTACCATGCCTTATCACACTATGTATACCACTACGATTTCTTAAATCTCTCAAACCAAACCTTTGAGGGCCTTAAATTTCACATTACCACTAGTTGCAGGCATTTTTCTATATTAATTCCTCATACCAACTTCGAGCCTTTCAAGACATATGATCAGCTTGAGAGATGTATTTCTGCTATCTGTTTTGTTTGTTTTATCCACCCCAATAACAGTCTCCTCATCATCATTCTATGACTGCAATCTCGTTTTGAAAATGAAGTTGCAACTCTTTGGCAAGAACAGACTTCCTTGTTGCCGTTTTCTTGGCCACAATAGTAGCGATGGTTGATTGGGGCTTTTGAGTACAAACTGGCCAGCTCGGAGACACGCACATCCACCCCTTTCATACTTAGCAATGATCTCTTTCTTCATATCCCATAGTATATTCTCACCCTTTTTGCTGATATGGGTTGGCGGACTAGAAGCTTTCTTGGGCCCATGAGGTGACGTATTTTGCAGGTGCAATCACTAAAACCTCTGTGATATTATGAAAATGTTGATTGTTGCATCTTGGATTGCGACCGCAGCAGTGGGCTGGCCTGGTAAACACTGGCACCCATGGAAACAAAGCGAGGCAGGGCTCAGGCTCGCACGTGGGACGCGCGTCTTGAATGAATCGCATTGAGCGAGTTTTTTAGCAGTAGGCGAGGCAAAATTTTTGCGTTAAAATGTATCGCTAGGCGGATTTAACGTTATGCGTTTTTTTGCGTTCATTAGGCGTGGGGTCCACGTTATCTTTGTGCTTGGTAGAGATACGGCGTAAAACCAATAGTTGGATAGGAGAACTGAGGGGGTGAGGTGTATTCAAAATTTTCGTATAGCCTGTAGAGCACTAAGGGAGTTGAGATAACCACAAATGATGCACAGGCTAGATGCAATTACAGATAAGTGCTGCAAGAATGGCATACAATTTTCAGCTGTAAAAATGTAGCCAAGGATAGTAAATGTCCCTACACGACACTGTCCATGAAACACTGCTGCGAAGCCGACACCATCAGAAGACTTAGCTAAACTGTGTACACTGTGATGGCATGTGATGACGAGCGGAAGTGGTCAAGAAAAAGAGAGCGGGGGGAAGTCTACCATTGCAGTTGGCTTTCGCACAAGGGACTGTGAGAAGACAGGCTCGAATACAGCTGGAACTTCTTCCCGGCGGGGTCAGGGATCAAGTGAGATGCTATCATAAAATAGAAAGGTGGTAACTGAAGGAGACAAAGAGCGAATGTAGGCAAAGAGAAAAGGGGCGGAGCAAAGGGGCGACGAACAAAATAATATTTCTTAACATTACATCGGTGGACTAATTCTATATATGGAAAGGATTGCGGAGAATAATGAGAGCGAAATAGCGAAGGAATGGGCATCATGCAATTGGAAAGGATGGAATATTAGCTTCTGCATAGAGGACTCTCATCAGGGGGAGAGCGATAGAAAAAAAGCCACCAAAGGCCACAAACGTAATTCACTGGTGATGGATGGGATTAAGGCTCAAGAGAATAGTAGGAGAGGCTGCTGAATAGATCTGATCACCATAATTGAGTTTCGATAAAATGAGGGCTGAATGTAGGCGAAGGAGAGTTGGATGATCAGCTCCCCATGAAAGATGAGCAAGGGTTTTAACAAGGTTCAGCCGGCTGTGACAAGTTGCCTTCAGAAAGGTAATGTGATGTTTCCAGGATAACCTACGGTCAAAGAGAAGGCCTAGAAACGTGACTATCATGTTATATTGTTATATATCATGATATATTTTGGCCAACGTGCCTTAAGAGTTTTACCAATTTCACAATCAGACAGATAATCCGTTTGAGGCGTTTGTAAAGAGAAGAATTTTGTCTATTGCACACTCGTTGCATGGTAGCGAGTGTCCTGTAGGTTGTTTTTGAGCGATCATTGACGAACTGTCATCATCTTGGATATTCAGTAGTATTGCGGGCGATCCAAAAACTGTCGCACTGTATTTGGGGAAGCTGGACGCATTGTGAAAGGCGTGCTAGAAGTAACGACATGGACAGAAACGGGTGATGCCACAAACACCTGAAGCAGGTGACGAAGCGTCACCGGCAGAAGGTACAGGGGTATGAGAAAAGTAGAGAGAATGGACTGATAATGAAGCTGGGTTAGAACAGGGTGTGGGATCAGAAAGGGGTCTGGGAGGAGGAAGGGTTTCATTAGGTGAAGACTCCATAATAAAGGTGATTCTTCCATGATATCTCCTTGTTATTTTTAGCAAAAAAAAAAAAAAGAAAAAAGAGGGACAGTCGCTAGGAGGCACGGAAGGGAGGAAGTTCACCCCCTCAACCAGTGGGCCTCGAGCCCACGGGCAGTGAAGATGCAGCATGTAACCCATGTCATACCCTACCCTTCATGCCAGTAAACCACTCCAGGATAGCAGCGTCACATCTAATGAGCCACCTCGGCGGACAAAAGAGAGGGTGGTCAGAAACCCGCCACAAGGTATACCTCCTTCGGCTGCCACCTCTCAAACCATAATGCCTGAGGAGGGCACCAGAGACTACAAATGGTATGGGAAATAAGTGGAGGGTGGGGAGAGGGAAAAGAGTGGGGGTAGGGAAGGGAGGTTTGGAGGGTAATTAGGTTCATTCGGAGGAAGAAGACCAAGAGGTCCAATTTCTTCGACTGATAGCCTCTTTACCTTAAACAGGTAAATTCAAGGAACCGGAGTACAGATCCAATTCCCTAGATCAAGAGCCCCTCGCCAGCGTCAAGGAACCTCCCTTGAGGGGGAGCTTATGACTACGTTGTGGTTTAAGTCAGACTGAAATGAAATGAGTTATTGTGTATTGCTCCAGTCATGGTATTGTGCCTTTTTGTTCTTTAGTAAGGCAGTACTGGGGTAAGGCAACAAATGATTGCTCAAAAGCAGTTCTGGGTTCTGAGAAGGGTCCATGGCTATGTGGGGATCAATAAAACACCACAAGAGATTAAAGAGAATAAGGCAATGTCATTTTCATTATAAGGTGATAAAATGGTAGGTAACTCCAAAATAAAAAAAGAAAACTGTTCCTGCCCCAAACCATGGTCACCCTTCCATTACAGGTAGTGTTTTACCCTGGCAACCACCTCATACCTGGTGTACAAAACCAGAATGACTACTTTCTATCAAGGATTAATGCAAAAATGTCGTGTTTTACTCCACCACATGTAAACATCTTTCAGATAATATTGATTGTGAGTGAACTGGAAAGAATGCATTATACACCTACAGTTCCCACTTCTGGATCTGCAGGCAATCTTCATCCATTAGAGGTCCTGCCAGATTACCCCTGATGTCTCGCCAGAGGGTCACCTGGAAAGCTGTAGGAGGAGCTAGTTTCATCAGGGGGTGTGACACTACACACCTATAACCAACCTAACTATTAGGAAAAGAACTATAATGATAGGATTATTTTTGTACTGTCTTCTAAAAGCTAGATTTCTTGAAAGTGGACATATCCTACTAATGAGTCAAAAAGGAATGGGGTGGAGGTACGTATTTTGATTCATCTGAAGTGTAGTTAAATGGTTCAATTTTTTAGATCTTTGAGCCAATTACTGGAGCAAGGGAGTCCCTCTCCCTTTCCTCTGGAAGAATTAGATATACTCTTTGAAAATACAGTACCTGGAGTATACCTGGAGAGGGTTTCAGGGGTCAACGTTCCTGCGGCCTGAGACCAGGTCTCATGGTGGATCAGGGTCTGATCAACCAGGCTGTTACTGCTGGCCACATGTAAACTGACATAAATATTAAAATTAAAGACAAACAAAATTATAGCACCCTGGTTTTTGTCCAGTGCGGAAATCATACAACTCTGATTTCGAGCACTTTTTTCAGCGAAATTTTCCTCCGGGTTTCATATGTCCGCTCGGAAATCGTCGGTACCAGACATGTACACCTGGGCCACTCATACATTCATGACTCACTCTTGGGCACAGTAAATGTCTTATTTTAGGTTAATATAGACATTTTCATTAATCCATCTATATTTTCTTCAAAATTATATAAGAAACACGTTACATAGCATATAAACATTGCATGTTTATGTGCTATCAAGGGACGAGTCAGTGGAGGGAAAACATTGTTTTCTCTGGTCCAGTGTTAGAGAAAACTGTATGAATCTGCCATCGGTCGTAGTCGGATGGTAGGTGTATCAGGTTTCTATGTTATTTATATTGTTTATTATGTCATATTAGATGAATTGTGATAGATAAATAAGCCATAGAGTTGATATTAGGGAAATTATTGAAGTATTTTATGGTGCCTGGAATTCCACTGGAAAGAATTAATTTAACCCTTAAACTGTCCAAACGCAGATCTACATTTACGTACGTAGTGCTCTGACCTTGACTTTCCCCCCCATTTGAAAACATGTAAAAAAAAAAAAGTAGACCTACGTTTGGAGCGCTACGCGAGTGAATGTAGATCTATGTTTGGACAGTTTAGGGGTTAAATGAGGAAAATTGACTCTGCAAATGAGCAAATCCAGATGTGAGCAAGGTCACGGAATGGATTAAACTCGTTAGTGGAGGTTCCACTGTACATTATATAGGTATGCATACTGGTCAAAGCCCATTGTAAGTCAGAATCGTCGGTAAACGAGTACATCGCTAAGTGAGGAGAGGCTGTATATGAAGAGACTGAAAATCCAAAGACCTGTGATGAGGTCAAAAACTGGCAGGTGACAGACTTTAAGGTACAAAAAAATTGTGCATACCACTACATTGGACACAATTGTCAGTTGCATACTAGTACATGACAGTTTTAAGGTTAATACAATACCATACCAATATTATAATAGTATCATCTTTTTTTGTGAATGACATTAATTTATAAATTAGCTGATACTATAATAATTTTAAAACTTTATTTATTGTAATATACATGTAATTCCATAATATGGCAATTTTCATATTTGTATGGTTTTACAACTTAACAGAGATTTTCCAAGAAGACCACAAATATACATGAACTAATCTTCATTAAAATCTACTTTCCCTCATTATGAAATTCTAAGATTTGTACAGCATTAACTTTTACAGAATTAATTATTTAAACTACCAATAAATGCATTCAGCTCAACACTATCATTTATGCATGTGTTTTCAATGCTTGGGTCATTTGGAAGATTATAGCTTTCTTCTAGATTAAACAGATCAGAAAATGATCTCTTAACATTATTAATAAGAGCTGCAAGTCTCAAGTGTGCACCATTTCCCAAACTACCTACCCTGGGTTTTGCATGAAATTCAGTGTTACCTTGATCACTTTGTTCATCAAATTTTGGCTTTTCCCTTGTAATTCTTACATGGAAAATTTGCCTTTTTTTAGATACAAGTGGGGATCCAGACAAATTATCCACACTGGGCTGCCACACAAGTGGCCACTGGGCATTCTTTACTTTTGAATGTTGAAGAGGATTTACTGATGAACACAGTCTTTTCTCTAGCATGTGGATGGGTTGATGTGATCTGACATCCCCAGCAGAAGCTGACTTTATATCTCTCATGTCTGTAGGGATAAAAATTACATCCCAATGACTTTTACTTAGTCGTCTATCTGAAGACTTCAGGCCAGAACTTGGTAATAATGCTGTGAAATTATGATGGGAAGAACTGGGGGTGCAAGTGTCCACAACTTGTTGGCATTCTGGTGCAGTAACACTGGCACGTCTCTGTCTATTGCAGCTTGTATCGGATTTATTAGTGATGAGAAGGTTCACAGAAGAACTTTGCACAGGAAGTCCAGTGACTTCTAAATTTAGCACTTTTTCATTATTAGTGTCTCTTTCTGCTTCATTTAAATTGTCATGATTAGACTCAAGATCCACACTACTGTCATGAGCAACATTTGTTGGATGTCTCTCTCTCTGTTCATTACTAACAATATTATCAGCAATAGGTGGATCACAGTCCAACTCTCTAAGAGTAACAGAGTTATATTGTATATTCTCACAACCAAGACTACAATTTATGATCTGCTCTTGTTCCTTACTAATGCAACTCTTGGAAATACCTTGCTGCAGCCCCACTGGATTAGGGATAACACTAATCTTTTTTTCTTCCGATTTTTCTGGTGTAACACCAGTCTTCTGCGGCTTGTATTTTCTAGATTGCTGGCATTCTTTTGTCTTTGTACCATGAAGCTTTTCATCTGAAAATTACAAACTCATTATTTATATATACATCAAAATAAATATTAAAAAAAATTTGGCTATCATCACACAAACAACTTCATATACAATGTATACAATGTATACAATGTATAAGTACTTTATAAAAAGCCCCTCATTATGCAAGTCATTTCACACAGCCTTAAAATAGTTAAAATTACTTGGCAGTGAGAGAGAGAGAGAGATACACGAGAATAAGAATATTTAGTTTACACTATATTGAAGGTATTCAGTAATTCAAATCAAAATTTTAATTAAAGATGCATTAAGGATGAAGCTAAGTACTTGAAATGATAGGAAGGATGGAACAGCAGATGAGACAGAGGGTCTGTACTACATCCACACACATTCAAATGCCCCAACTTTAAAGTGTTGTTCTTTTCAAATTTAATAATTTATATATGAGCAGGGGTTACTAGCCCCTTACTCCAGGCATTTTGGTCGCCTATTGCAACACACAGCTTACGGAGGAAGGATTCTTCTCCACTTGCCCATGGATAAGATAAGATAAGATTTCGTTCGGATTTTTAACCCCAGAGGGTTAGCCACCCAGGATAACCCAAGAAAGTCAGTGCGTCATCGAGGACTGTCTAACTTATTTCCATTGGGGTCCTTAATCTTGTCCCCCAGGATGCGACCCACACCAGTCGACTAACACCCAGGTACCTATTTGCTGCTAGGTGAACAGGACAACAGGTGTAAGGAAACGTGTCGAAATGTTTCCACCCGCCGGGAATCGAACCCGGGCCCTCCGTGTGTGAAGCAGGAGCTTTAGCCACCAGGCCACCGGGCCACCAAGATGAAAGGAATTAATATAGGAACAAGAACAATTAAGAAAATAAAAGAAAACTCAGATGGGTGTATATACACCTACATACATGTGTAGTATGAACTAAACTTAAGTTGAGGTAGCAAGCTGTACCTCTCATCTAGTATGTTTATTTATTTATTTATTTATAATTTGAGCACACTTACAGAGGTACAAAAAAAAAATACAGATAAGAGCAGCATGCCAAAGCCACTTATACTATGCATAGCATTACGGGCTGGCTTAAAATTAACTTAAGATTAACTAAGCAATGATGAAATCAGTGAAAAACATTAATGTAAACTGATTACTATAAAGCACAAGTGAGTATTACAAAGACAGGTCAGTAGAATGGAGTATTCTGTTAGGTAGTGTATTTAAAAAATAATAAAGTTAGATTGGGTTTTAGGTTTAACATTTATGTGATATAATTGTGAGAAACATTTAAGATATACAATTTATAAGGTTCAGTTATTCAGTATTTATTTGGTTTTGGGTGAGTAAGTGATCTTTGAGAAGAGACTTGAATTTATAAACAGGTAGTGTTTCTTTTATATTTACAGGTAATGAATTCCAGATTTTAGGGCCTTTTTTTGTGCATTGAGTTTTTGCATAGCGTGAGATGGACACGAGGAACATCAAAGAGTGATCTGTGCCTTGTGTTATGGTCATGTGTTCTGTTGAGGTTGGCAAGGAGATGTTTGAGGGGAGGGTTTAATATCAGAGTTGAGTGTTCTATGTATGTAATAGGTGCAGTAATAAGTATGGATGTTTTGTATGGTGAGTAGGTTGAGTGTATTGAATATTGGTGGAGTGTGCTGCCTGTAGTGAGAATTTGTTATCATTCTAACTGCAGCCTTTTGTTGGGTAATTAGTGGTCTGAGATGGTTACTTGTTGTTGAGCCCCATGCACAAATTCCATAGGTGAGATGGGGGTAAATAAGAGAGTGATATAGGGCCAGGAGGCTGACTGTGGAGCATAGTACCATATCTTCGATAGTATGCCTACAGTCTTGGAAATTTTCTTAGAAATTTGTTGTATATGTGTATGAAATTTGAGTCTATTATCAAGGTGGATTCCTAAGAATTTTCCCTCTGTTAGCTTTGTGATAGGTGATCCGTTTATCATTATGTTAAGAGGGACATCTGTAGCTCTGTTACCAAACTGAATGAAGTAGGTTTTGTCAATGTTTAGTGTAAGTTTGTTAGTACTCATCCAGGTAGATATTTTCTGTAATTTGGTATTTACAGTATTGGCTAGCGTGACTGGGCTCGGGTGGGAGAAGACGTATGTTGTGTCATCAGCAAATAGTGTGGGTTTGAGTAATTGAGAAGCATTTGGTAGGTCATTTATGTATAGGAGAAAGAGAAGAGGGCCAAGGACACTTCCCTGTGGGACACCAACTGTAATTGGTTGTGCAGAAGAGTTTGCCCCATTTGCGTACACATATTGGCTTCTGTTGCTGAGGTATGACTTGAGGTAGTTGAGGGAGTGCCCTCTTATACCATAGTGTGACAATTTTACGTGGAGCAAGTCATGGTCAACTGTATCAAAAGCTTTACGTAAGTCAATGAAGATCCCAGTGGGACTTCTTTTTTCTCTATTGCAGTGTATATATGTTCTAGCATGTGTATAATAGCATCATTAGTATTTTTATTAGGCCTGAATCCAAATTGGCAGGGTTGGTATGTTTTGGGAGATAAGGTAGGAGTAGATTCGTTTATGAATTAATTTTTCGAAGATTTTTTGAGAGAGGGTGTAAGTTGGATATTGGCCTATAGTTATTCAACTCTGTTTGGTCTCCTCCTTTGTGGATCGGGGTGACCCTTGCTATTTTGAGTACTGTAGGGAAGGTGGAGGATTCAATGGATTTGTTAAAGAGTGTTGCAATGATTGGTGATAGCACTTGTGACACTTTTTTGTATATAAAGGGTGGTAAGGTATTTAAATCTCCTGCCTTGTTTTTTAGTGCGTTGATAATAAGGGAGACTTCGTATGGGTTAGTCGGAGCTAGGAACAGTGTGTTCGGGTAGTTGCCGGTGAGGTAGTCATTTGGTGGGATATCTGAGCTTGGGATTTTATTGGCAAGGTTTTGTCCTATAGTGGAGAAGAAATCATTGAGTCTGTTTGCTGTTTCTGTTGGTGGGGTTGGGGTTCATCTGATTTTGCTAATTTTATTTCGCTATTTCGTGATATCTTTTTTGTTCCCAGAATTTCTGATAGGGTTTTCCAGGTCTTTTTTATATCACCTCGTAAGTTGGATAATCTGTTCTCATAATACAATTTTTTTGCCCTTCTTATCAGGCTGGTTAGGATTGACGAGTAACATTTTGTTTGGTCTCTGGTTATGTGACCCATTCTGTACTGTTTTTCATATTGGTGTTTTGTATTTATGGATTTGAGAATGCTGGGTGTTAGCCAGGGACTGTTCAGTCTCTTAGCTGTCATCTGCTTAGTTTTTTTAGGGCAGTGCTTGTTATAGAGGTATTGAGTCTTTTTTAGAAAATTATTAATACATTCGTCAATATCTGTATTGATTTCTAGCTCAGTGTGCCAGTCAATGTTTGCTACTGCTGTTGTGAAGTTATTAATGGCTGCCTCATTGTGCATTGTGACATTGAGACAGAAAGAAAGGACACCAGCAATCTGTGGCCTGGTGGCTAAAGCTCTTGCTTCACATGGCGAGGGTAGAAACATTGGAGTTTCTTTTCACCGGTTGATATGTTCCCCATCAGTAAAATGGGTACCTGGGTGTTAGTCAACTGGTGTGAATCGCATCGTGGGACAAAACTGACCTAATTTGCCCGAAATGCTCTGCATAACAAGCAGATGTCGCTGATGTCAGCTAGGCCAGTATACCTTGTACATGTACTTGTAGAAGATATTATTTATTTGTGTAAAACAATTACAGGTGTGTTAATGTTGCAGTTTCATAACTGTAGTGTAAAGCAACCCTCTGGCAAGACAGTGATGGAGTGAATGATGATGAAGGTTTTTCTTTTTCGGGCCACCCTGCCTTGGTGGGAATCGGCCGATTTGTTAATAAAAAAAAATTCACATGTAATAAATATTAAATTTATAGTTCTTGCCCAATCTCTGCCAAACAAATATATTCATATTATTATTATAATCAAAAAGAAGCGCTAAGCCACACGGGCTATACAGCGCTGCAGGGTAGGGAAGGAAGCAAGGGAATTGGATGGCAGAAGGGAGGGGGGATGATCAGCAGGTTACAAAAAACAGCGGGGCAGGGGATAGTACGGGGGTAGAGGGTAGCAAGAGATTGAAGTAGAAAGGGCTGAAGGTATCAGAATTTGTGAAGTCAGTCAGTCGTTGTCAAAAAGTCAATGAGAGAGTCCGGATGAAAGGTGGGTCCATCAGCGAGAAGGGAAGGTAAAGAGAGAGCAGCGGAGCGAAGACGACGACAAAGGTAAATTCTGTGTGCTTGTTGATAAAGTGGGCAGTCCAACAGAATGTGGCTGACTGATAATGGAGCTTGGCAATTCTCACAGAGAGGAGCAAGACGCCTCTCCATGAGATATCCATGAGTAAGACGAGTATGGCCAATGCGAAGACGGGAGAGAGTAGTCTCATAACCTCGGCACTGGTGATAAGAAGACGGCCAGTAACCTATACTCGGTTTAATAGATTGAAGTTTGTTGCCGAGCATAGTAGACCAACGTTGTTGCCAACGGGTGTGAAGTTGGGAAGGTATTGCAGCAAAATAGTCCGTAAATGGAATACCTCTATAAGAAACTGGTAGGTCATGTATTGCTGACCGCGCAGCAGTGTCTGCCTGTTCATTGCCCTGTACGTCAACATGACCAGGGACCCAACAAAAAACAATATCTTTATGTTTGGTAAAGATGCGGCGTAGCCAAAGTTGGATACGGAGGACTAAGGGGTGAGGTGTATCAAATTTTTGTATAGCCTGTAAAGCACTAAGGGAGTCTGAGACAACCACAAATGATGACACAGGCATAGATGCAATACGGATAAGTGCTGTAAGGATGGCATATAATTCAGCAGTAAAAATACTAGCCGAAGATAGTAAATGCCCTTGTACGACGCTGTCCGGAAACACTGCTGCGAATCCTACGCCGTCAGAAGACTTAGAGCCACCTGTGTACACAGCAATGGCATGAGAATGAGAGTGAAAGTGGTCAAGAAAA